GTTAACCATGTTTGTGGGGCCACTTTGTTCCTTTCAACCATCATGGGAGGGAAGTATGGTTATTAGCAACTCTGCTTTACGGGTGGGGAAACAGATTCCCAAGGGTTTTGGTGACTTGCTCAAGATCACACAATAAGCTAGTGACAGAGTCAGAATATGAACTACAATTTCCCACATTCTAGTCTACACCATAATTGTTTGAGCAGCTAATGATCTTTTTATTTTGTCCAAAACTAGAGGAATGTTTAGTGACCAAACCCTACATCTAGCCTTATTGCTCTTGGCATTTGGTCTGAGATGTCTCCAATCTCTCCTCTTTCTGAGCCACATGGCATTGCCACCTGGTGACTTCTCAGCAGGCTTAGTGAAATCAGACTTGTGAGAGTTTATACATAGGGGTGTTTCAGCATCACTTGCCATCACTTGCATCCTTGGACTCCAGGATACTGGGGCATGGACAAAACTTAACCCCATCATGTTATTTTACTGATGAAGAAACTGAGATTCAGAGAAAAAGAAGGAGTTGTTCAAAGTCACACAACTGTTGTGATGTTGTAGGTCCATTAATGTCTTCCAAAAACTGATAAAATAGATGATAAAGGAAGCTCATAGAAAAGAGATAAGAAAAAATAAATTATTAGCAGGCAATCTCTGTCACTTCCTAGCTGTGTAAGTCTCAGGTAAGTCTCTTAAACTCTTTGACTCTTGGCCTCCTCTTGTGTTAAGTGGCAATAGTAATAGAACCTGCCCCATACGGTATGTGAGGATGACATGATGCTGTGCATGCAAGTCTCCGAGTACAGGGCTTGCCCCTCAGTAGGAGCTCAGAACATGGGAGCTGTAATAAAGTCTTATTAGGTCAGAAGCACAGAGACAGGGAATGGGTTTGTGGGCAGGGACAGGGCTGGAAGGAGTTGAGGGAGTGATCTGTGTCTGTTGGTTCCCACACAGCAGTTCAATATGGGAAAAGAGAGGGGTGAAGATAACAGGAAAAGGGGGCATGTTCTTCAGTAAATCATGTATTGTTGCCCAGATGTCACTGTGGTAACAAGGAAACCCCCTGAAATCACTTTGTCCACAGCTCAAGATATAACTCCCCAGAGCTTTCAGTGGCAAGTTCAGGAGCTCCAAGGAGGAGCCAGGAATAAGGCGGTCACAGACGGGAACATTCATTTCTTTGGGATTCTTCTTTTTAAGATGTTCTCAGAAATTTGGATGAGCTAGAAAGGATCTTCAGGCTAGAACTTGGTTATAGAGGGCAGTTTTCCTTCCATTTTGCCTGTGTTTATCTTAAGTCTATTATGGGACAAGGTGCCAACTCTCCTATTCTATCAACTGTTTAGACTCTGAGGTTTATAAATAGCCTCTGGAAGCCCCTCTCTTAGACTTCCCTTTGGATTTCTAAACTCCCCTTAATAAGAGCAGTTTGTAAGAAAAAAAAAATGTCTTTTTATTGATGGAATTGAAAAGGTGAGCTGACCATAGATAAAAATTATTGTAAAAGTGGGAATTTGGGGATGGCTGGTCTGTTCAGGAAAATTTTCTAAATGAAAGTCCAGGTGATCACTCAGACAGGATGTGATTTAGATGGGTTGCTTCATGGTAATGATAATTTCCCCACATCAAAAAATAAATAGTAATAGAACTATGTAGACAAAATAACCTTGTTTGAAAGACTAACACTTTAAAGCATTTTTAGGCACTCATTTAGTTTTAAGTAGCTACAAACAATCCTTATCTATTCAGTTACAAACAGTCTTTATCTGTTATGGCCAGTAGCCAAGTACTTATCACTAATATCCTTCTTACAGTCATCTGGTGAAGTGTTGATGGTCAAGTTCAGGGGTGGAGTTAGAGTATGTTTGTTCTATCCAGAGGACACAGACTCATGGAGAATGATAAAGCACAAGGAAGCTTCAGTCTTCAA